GCCCACCATGTTACGCACAGCGTTGACTGTGCGGCTGCATAATTCACTCGGCGGAATTGGACGCGAAAGGGCGATATCCGGGTAATAGCAAGAGTACCAGGCGACCAACTGACGTTCCTGGTTTCGGATCCTGGTCGATAACAACGTCCTAGTAGCTGTTGATTGAGCGCGCAGAGCGGAGACCTGCGCTAATAAATTCTGCGTGTAGGAGACCATCGGCGGCAGCTCATCGACCGGCTCGGATGAAGCCTCGGGGTTCTCGGAGTCAAGTAAACCCTGGTCGGCGTAGTCAACTGCCTGTATTCTCAGAAGCGCCGCCGCCGTAGCATGCACTCACCGGCGAACTGAAGTACAGCTGAGCGGCCTCGTCGGCTCGAGCGATCGCGCCATCGAGGATGCTCATGCTCGCGGCATCTTTCCACCATTCACCAGCGGTGTTAAGCCGCTCCCCGCAGCGCCGGATATGCACCTCGCATTCCTCTCTCACCGCGCCGTCATCGACGTTCAGGTCGGCCCCATTAGACCCTAGCAGACGACCATCTGCTCGAGCCTCTTTCACAATAAGAGAGAATGCGTCGCCGTCAGGGGTACTGGCCTCGTGCTGGATTGTCTTTCGCCATTCAGGGATCAGGGGGGCGCGACCTCGGATGGCAAAATCGCCGCTGATTGCGTTGCACAACGCCTATCGCAAGCCAAGTCAGACGAGGCGTCGAAGCAGGCGAGGGTGGGCTCACCACTTCGAAAGCCAGCCCTTTACTCAGGGCAGTAAGCGAAAAGCCAGCCTCAGCCATTGCTCCGTCGATGTGGGCACCGAGGGCATTGACAATTGAGTTATGACGTGCCACGTATATGTCAGACTCTTGCTCTTCGAGGGTATCTCCTAGCGGGATGTCCCTTTCTGGCCGTGGGTCAATGAAGGGAATTTGCAGAGGGGATTCGGGTCGGGATTCGGACATGAAGGAGCAGGAAGAGAAAGTTAGGCGAGCTCGCTGCTCGATCCAGAGGTGCGCAGCATCATCACATCAGTCCATCGTATCAAAGCTTGACGCCGATGACATAATCTATGTACAAAGTGGACAAAGATCTTGCGAAACGTTTCACTGAGTAGAAGGCCGACCCCGTCTGAACCACTCGGCGACCCAAAGGTCTAAATCCCCGAGAACTGTGTTGTCCCCGCCGCGCTCGCGAAAGTAGCGCTCTATCATACCGATCTCAGGACTGGCGGCGGCGGCCCCTTCGTAGAGATAATGATACGCGGCGAGAAAGCGGTCCTCGCATTGTTCTGTCACCCTTCGCAGCGCGGAGCGCTGCTCTTCGAGTTTACCGCGGAGTTGCTGCATTTGGGCATCTATGTGCTCCACGGTATTGACGATGTCGGGCGCGAGGACGAATGTCGAGCCGTTGCTACCATGCGCCCTGATCGGGGGCGCAAATCCAAACCTCTACAGTTGAACAGTCAGCCGCCGAGCTGCCTGAGATGCAAGTCAATCCCCATACTTCGGTCGTCATCATGAGCCGCGCGGCGAACGCCGCCTGGGCGGCTTCGCCTTCGAGCGACGCTGGCTCTTCGCTTTCCCACCAGGCCTTTGTGTCGAGATCCAGACCGAGAAGGTGGATAAACGCCGGGACGTCATCAATTGATCGAGGCGCTACGCTTGACGTCGGGATCCCCCACCGCCCACCGGGACCCTGAGTCTCGAGGTATTCCGCCTCCAGGATGTCGTAACTTCCTGCCGTGGTATTGTAGACGGCATCTTGCAAAGGCCCCGCGACGGAAGTGTGAAACGCCATGGGTGGGACGCCCCGAATGGCCAATGCGCCGCTCACTGCAGCATGCAGCGCCTGAGATATCAAATGAGCGCCGGATCGGCAGCAAAACAAGAACTGCATTCACCGCCTCGAATCTCATCCCATCGGCGATCTTCTCCGCTAATCCAGGTTTCTTTGGGCGATGCGAAAAAAAATCGGGGCCGAGCCGTCGTAGAATCTCGTTGATTCGCAACCTGACCGCGGCTTCTTCTGCAGATGCGAGCTCTTTTCGCTGCATGGCGGTCGACTCGGGGAGCGATCAAGGATCGCGTTCCGCAAAGTTCTCCCCTATATAGACGGACGATAGAAACATCGCATGTTCTGATGGCTCCCGCCACGTGAAGTGGGCGCCGAAGTAACTTAGCGTCTCCCGTGTCGCTTCTTGTTCACTCTCGTCTAACCACCACCTTTCATGATGTCAGGAGACGCTCAATACCCATTGGAGGACTTCTGGTGGTCCATGGAGCGCCGCGCCGCCGACATATGCACATATTTTGTGCCCTTCAACAAGGCCGCCCTGATAGTTCGAGGGCTAAACTCTGAGCTGGTGCGTAGCTCAATGTACGGTCTTCTCCGATCAGGATCAATGATAGTTCAGAGTCTCACCCGAGCCGGCGTGGGTCACATTCGGCTCAAGTCCGGGCGTATGCCACCGGAGTCGGAGTTTATGTGGAAGCTACAGAACACATTGCATAATAACAACAAATCGGAATGGGAACAACTGCCGCGTCTGGCCTTGCTCGTTCTGACGGGCAACTACGGTCCCGAACGCCGCGACGTGACTGGATTTCCCCGCTGGTGGCTTGACCATCCGCGTCTGCTGCCCTTCGGCTACCGCGCCCAGCCGTTCGATCTCCCGTCGTGGGTTATAACGAACGCAGTCAAGATGATCACGTCCTCTGTGGTGGAACATGTGAGGGGAAATCAAACTTGAATGACGTGGTCTAACTTTACCTGCAGCGCGCGGATGTGAAAGCTTTTGCGGCAGACGTGAAGTCCGTTGCGGAGGGACTTGGGCGATTGCAGCTTTCGACCCTCGAGCGGGGACGAGCAATTGACGTCGGACACGAGGACAGTGAGGAAGTATTCCTCTTATTGCACAACGCCCGCCAGGAAGCTGCTACATCTGTGCAGAGGCAGCATGAGGATGCTGAAGGCCGAGGCCATGCAGCCGTGCCTTTCCTGGCTGAAGTACCAGAGTATTCACGCTCCTAACATATATCTAGTCCCAGAACGTCCCCTCGTATCGCCTTGTATCTGGTACATACAATGCAATTGGACTTTGCCAATCATCTCGCAACATTCAAACGCCCGCTTCGTCGGATCCCTTGCGTAGTTCCCGCCGTGGCCGTAGTATCATCGCGGGAAACCCCTGTGGTCGACGACCTCTTGCGCTTCAGCGTCGAGCGGCTTCCTCGAGATGCGGAAGATATTGCGGGCGCGTCAGGCGCCTTTCCTTGCTGCCTGGCGGGCCGTCCGGCTGCGGCTTTGAAGAGGGCCTGTCGCGGCTCAATGTATGTCAAGCGCCGCTGGGGCATGGGTCGAATCGAAATCGCCGAGCCCATGGCGTCGCTATCCAAGTCCCAAGCGCTACTGGAGCCGCCGTCGACGTCGAAGGTGACGGGCTCTACAAGCTGGTTGAATTGGGAGCTCCTCGGCCGGCTGATGCGCGTGGGAAGCACGTCGCTGTCATCGCCGTCGTCGAATTCTACAGGAATCTCGAATGCCGCGCTGTCTGAGGTTGACTGCGGCTCCGGCGTCACCGACCGTCGCTTCTTCTGGCGGCCGCCCCCATTGCCGCGCTTGCGACTCGCCCCACCGCGGCTTTTTCGGCCAGCCCGCGCCGTGGACGCGGCATTCGAGGACTTCGACGCCGCCGGTTTTCTTACTACCATCGCCTTGCGTCTTTTTGCGGCAGGCCGAAGATCTTCCCCATCAGAGTCAGCCTGGGAGGTCCCCGCCGGCGGCATTGGCAACCATGCGCCTGAGGTAACTTGCGGTGCCGGTGCTCTTCCCGTCTTCTTTCGGACAGACTGTTCGCCGCCTACTCCTCCAGCCCGGATTGCGCGGTTCGCCCGTTTCCTCTCTTCCAAGGCCGCCAGGCCCTGCAAGCTTTTGCGAGTCAACTCCTGCACGGCAGTTCTCGGCTCGTCCTCTAGCGTTCGACGATAGTCCTGCACAGTGTGAGGCAAACTGATGTCGTCCATGTCCACAGCGAGGAATTGAGGGTCCAAGTCCTGCGGCGTATCCTCTGTATGGCATCTTCTTCGACGCTGCGAGCCAACTGCCCCGCCATGGTCGCCGCCGTTTGACGCAGGTGAGTCTCGCTCGGGCGAGTCCGCCTCTGCCGCCGCAGCTCCCAACACCTCTGACTCGTCATGCTCAGGCAGATGCGCTTCTAGCCCCACTGCCGCATCATTTGCCCATTCTGCGATGGCGGTCTTCACCTGTTCGACGTATGGCCGAAGTGTAGAATCGCAAAGGGACGCGGCGCCTGCGTAACTCCAGTTTTCGTCTTGCAGGTTCTCGACATCTGCGAAGATGAGCGCGACCTTCAGCATGATGGCCAAACCGGTCTCTCTTGAGCGCGCCTTGCCCGCCGAAACGTCCACGAGAAGATCCGGTCGATGAAGCCATTCAAGAATGACGGCGGCAAGGTGAGGAAGCTGGTGCGCGGACGGCGGCAATCCGCAACGCTGCCACTGCCACGATGGGACCCCGTTGCGCTCGGTGATCCATGAAGGCGCGTTTCGATCAGATGAGTGCGGGATGTTCACGAACGGCGCCTCGAGCGGGCCAGGCTCCTGTTTGATATATGTCAGCTTGTCTAGTGGACGCGATAATGTTACCAGCTTGCCATTCTTGCCACCAACCTCAAGAGAGGCAGGAGGACGTCTTGCTCCTCGTTCCGCATGACGTACGCCAGATAATGAGTCCTCGAGTTCACGAGCGCATACTTCACGCAAGGAGCCCAACCCGGAAACTGGTACTGCTCAGCGTAGTGACACAGGGCCTGGTGAAAATCGGAGAATATCCTGGCAAACGTCGCAGCGCCGACAGCAAAGTTCCCAACACCTTGGTCTCCTACGGACGAACCCCCTGCCGCGGCGTAGCCTCTCAAGTACAGCACCCAGCCTAGTACGAACGTCCAGACCATCTCCATCCCAGAGAACACCTCCGACCCGCCCTGCGCAAGCCTCCACGGTGAACCTTGCAAGAACGATATCCAACGCACCACATCTCCAGATGTAGGCTCCGCCGTGCACATTGTCCATCGGAGATCGTCCGGTAATCTCGTGCGCTTCCCTGCAGCCTTGAGGGGATATGAGCAGTTCGGAATCATCTGTTTAGGCTTAGAAAGCGCGATAAGCCGGCCGTACGCCCATGGACTCACCGGCAATTCTACCAATTGTTTGACAGCGGCTATGAATGAACGCATCGAGCGCGGAGACAAGCCTTCGCAATGATTTCGGAGCTGCGATAGGCTCCATTGGCCTCGAGCCTCGCCATTAATCGGAACGAGGTATGGCGGGATATCGTCCTCAATTGACCGTAGACCCGCATGTTGCGTCAACGGGGAGACAGGCAGCAAGTCATCTGGGTCAGGCACCGTCGGGATATCCAAGACTTCTAAGATGTCCTGTTCTCTCATAGTCTCCTCGTGTACGGTGTGCCCTCCCTGGCTACCAAACGGCGACGCATCGATACCCAGACCGGCTTTCTCCAACGGTTCTACGGCCTTTGGCACGTAATCGACCGCCGCCAGAGCACCAGGCGGAATGTTTCCCGTGGACAGTAAATGGCGAGGGACAGCGTGGGCCCACCAACGTTCAGCCAAAGGAACCGGGTCCATGGGCAAGCTGTTCTTTCGTTGCCACTGATTAAACTTCAGACCCTTCGTCACGGTGAACCAGTGTTTAAGATATTTGAAGCAGTTTGGCTGGCGAAGTGCTGTCGGAATACTCATAGGTACGTCAGGAAGCAGGTACCTGCTGTCCACTAACTGATGAAAAGATGCCCAAGGTGGATCGAGGTCTCGAAAGCTGGAAATATTGCCTAAAGACGTTTGAACGGTGACTAGCGCACTCAGAGGTAAAACTCACTGTGTGCCATTCTGACGATAGTATACACCATTGCGATCGCTTCTTTGAAAAAAAGTTCCTCCTCATATTCATCTTCGCTGAGGACTAACTCGTCGCGTCCAACAAAGCTGGCGTCATCCACGGTCCAAGTGGTTTTGCGTTTGAGTCTGGACTTTTTGTTGAGAATCGTCGGTAAGGCTGCGCCTTCAATACGCCCTTGAAGGTAGTTAGTTCAATGCAAGTAGTTAGAATGGAGGAGCTTCTGTGACCAGCTGCGTGGTTGACCTCCCGATAGATGTCCGCGAGGGTGTCGCCTATGGGTATCGTCTTCACCAACGGCTTCTCAAGAATCCTCAACTCGTGCATGAACTCGTGGCTGAAGAAGCGGTCAGACGATATGCGACAGCCCGAGCAAAGAAGGTCCGCGTACAGACGAGGCGGATTCGTCAATCCGGGCTCTGGTATCGCCATGGTGACCAGATGCTGTCCAAATTCGCGTAGGGCTGTTATGTGGACGTTCCGGATCCACGTTTGAAACCGCCGATAGTAGGCTCTGCAGAACAAGTTCAATAATCAGCGTATGGAAGATTGTCCCATTGTACAAAACTTACTCCATCTTCTGCTCTGCGGGAGCTGCCCCGGATTGCCATTCGTTGGCCATCTCCGTCAACTGGAGCCTCTCACCGGACGGTAATTTCCAATAGAAAACAGTACGGCACTTAATCCGGTGACCGATATACCCGCGAGGATCACCAGGGCGCATCCCGGTGCCCAAGAAAACCATCTCGTCTATGGAATCGCGATAGACTATGCCGCAAACGCGCAGGCCGGTCCATTTGCGCGTGCTCAGCTTCTCGGGCAAAGCTGGCGGACCCCGGATGCGGCCCTGCTCCTTGTAGTATCGCCTCAACGCCTGTAACGGCGCATATCGTTCATCAGACATCTCAGACGTAGCTCGGGCAACTCACCGACCACTGATTTTTGAATTCTGGTGTTTGCGGGCGATGCGACCAATCCAAGGATTCAGGCCAGATGCTCCCCATTTGCTCGCGAAAGAAAGCGGGGCGATCGCTGGGTGCTAGTCGCACGTATGTGTCGACATCCTGGGCTAGTTTGTTCAGAGTATCGACGGTGAACACGACGGAGGGCAAGACGGCATCAGCAATGTCGCCGTACGTCGGAGCTTTGCGCGTCATGATGATTCGAGGCGAACGTTCGGATGAGGTTGGCGGAGCGCTGATGACTATATGGGAATTGGAGCCTTGAGCTGTCAACTTTTAGAAAAGCTGGGAGAGTTCTGTGGGTACGGTATGTAGACGGAACGTGACGCATCAGGTTTCATCGCACAGAGACGGTTTATGTGGGCTCAGGGTCTCAGCTGTCATCAAACTGCGGCCACTACAGTGCAACACATTGAGCCCTTACGCGGTTACCAACCAACGCGTGGCGAGAGGGGGTGCCAGACAACACGTACGATGCTAACCACACGAACATGTGCAACCGCATGACCTAGTATTGCACAGTTGAGAAAATGTGGATGGACGGGTCCTCTGCAAAGGCGGAAGTGGGAATGTTTAGTGCGCAAGCCGCATACGCGCGGCGCCCTCCATAGCGTCGCGCTTAGCGGCGATCTCCTAACGTGACAATGATCATATCAAAGCTACCCTACAGCACATTGATCGCCCTGCCGTCGACCGTTAGGCTCGCCAGATCTCTGCTTGACTCTTGCCGCCATCTAGCCGGTCCACTAAGCATAAAGCAGCAAAGATGTCCGACGAGCGCAGTTATCAACACCGTGTAACTAATCGCACAGCGGCGGCAAACGCGACCGGTAAACGCCAAAGAGTAACGTACGCTCCCAAGCACTACGTTCACAATCCGGGTCCTCGCGCGCAACTTGCGGCCGCGGCAGGGCCTAGCCGTGCTGGCCGCCTGCCGAACGCGAGCATAAGTTGGGAACCCGCCTTACGCGGTGCCTCCGCCCAACATATTTGGGAGAGCGCGGAGCATGTCGCTAGGCAGCGCGGAAGGACGCCGGCTAGCCAAGAAGCCGTTTCAGAAAGGCGAGAGAGGAGCGCCACAAACACCGCTGAGACCGGGGCGCTTAATTTCGCCGGAATGCTGGATGATCTTCGCGGGGATACGAGGGTCGACATGTTGGGGGTGCCGGTTACGGATTATCATCATGATTTCGAAAGCGACGGGGAGAGGAGAACGAGCGAAGGCAAGGTGCGTGAATCGCGATTCTTGAATACGTTAGCCGCCCTCACGTGTTTGATTTCAGACTCAAGTCGATTACTTGCATCAGTTCAAAGAGCAAAATCTGGCTCCGCAGTACGCTCAGCTCATAATTGCATTTCGCCATGCGCCTCCGTTGGACCTGAAATGCTCGGCTTGCCAAAGGACTGGAGTAGCGCGTTGGCGATGCGGACATTGCATATTGAAGAGGGACTTTTGCTCTTCATGCCTTCGTCAGACGCATTGGAGTAACCCCTTTCATACCATCGGATGGTGGACTGGGCAGCATTACCGCAAAGCTTGGCTGCGAGATGCCGGGGTGGCAATTCTTCTATGTCCCAACGCCCAACTAGGGGAGGGGTGCCCCAACAATCCCGGCTGTCGACCGAATTTCGATACCATCGATACAGAGCCCCCGCCGTCATACGGCAGCTTCACGGTCGCCGCGCCGTCTGCTGCGTCATCTGATGCATCCGGCGATGATTCTCTGACTGCCGCCGTACGGCCCGACGACGACGTTCATCTGCCGCCGGCTTTTCGCGACGTTGACGAAGGGGAAATTGAAGACCTGTACCTTCCTCCTGGGCCTGGTTTAGAAGACGATTTCCAGCCTATCGGCCCCCCCGACGAAGAAGGAGCTGAGAGCCATTACGAATACACCGCCGGTGTTGCACGGGACGGTGGCAAAACGTCCATTCCTACCAAGGATCTGTATGGCCACCGCACTCTCGTTGTCGTTCATACCGACGCCATTCACGGCATCGGCGTAGGTTTCTGTCGCTGCCCTGAAGCACCGTCCGAAGATCGCCAGCTTGTGAAATACGCAGGACTCTTTCCAGCCTCTCAGGACATCCCGTCCACCGCCTTCACGCTGCAGTTCCTAGAGTACAGGCACTTTGACGACGTCATTTGCAAGACCAGCGCACAAGCCCACATGCGGAAGATTCGGCGTTGCACAGAACCAGACGAACTACGCCTTGCTCCGGTGAGCGCCTTTGACACTGTTCGCTCGCCGCCATTCATTCTCTGTCTTTGCAGAATCGATATCCCAAGCTTCTCCTGGTGTCGCGCCTGTACACCGCGATCAAGAATCTGATAGATTTTGGGTACGCTTCCCAACCGCTGGCGAATTGGCGCGAGCCGCCTGCTGGTGGTCTCGTTTGGAAGTGCATCGTGTGCCCCCGCAAGACGCCAGAGTTCAATAACTTACCGAAGATCTGGGAGAGAGACCCAGATGAATGGCGCAAATTCGTCTCCCTCTGCTACGACGGTAATTTCAGTGGCGACCACACGATATCCCGCAGACCAGGAAACAATGTGTCATTATATCCCGGCACTGGCATGTTCGATCTCGCGGATGCTGTGGCTGCTCATGCCGCTCGGGCTTTAGACGATAGGGCCTTGCGCAGGATATACCCCGATCTGGTGACAATCTTGAAGGCTTATGCGTCGAAGATCCGCTCACGAGGGTATAGAATGCGAACGACAAGCCTTGCCATGAACACAAAGCCGCCGCCACAGTGGGGAAGGTTCGAAGTAAAGTCGTGGACATAAAGGGAATAGGCTCCTGGGCCTGTTCTCGACACGGGTGCTTCTGCGCATGTGCAACGAACAACTTCACCTTGGGAGAAAGGTGAGTAACAAAGCTACCCCAGTGCCTCGCTACGCTCAGCGATCTGCCAGCTCAAGTCCTGTTGACAAGAGCTTAGACTCTGCATTCTGTCACACCATCACCGATCAGATCACCCGCGTCCAGCTCTTATACGATATTTGGTGCCGCTATGGTGTTCACGTTCAGAAGCGTTTCAAGCACAGCGGCCTAGATTGGCCCAAATTCCGCGAGGTCCTTCAGGGCGTCGGAGTCTGGCACATCTACGGCCACGTTTTCGAATGCTTTCGCCGGTTCTCGCCGGATTACTCACCGAGAGCGGGTATCGTGGATGGGGAAATTCTCGAGACGCTCTGGTCGCTGCTAAACGGCATCCTGCAGGCCTGTCGGGGAATGTCACTCGCGGCGCGAGAGGAGAAGATTAATATGCACATGAACGACATTAACCATCGAAAGATCATTGAAATGAGTAAGTTCGTACAATGTTGAGGCGAAATCTTCTTTGAACTTTGGCAGCTGGGACTCTCGTGCGGAAGTATCGCAAATACAGTCGCGAACTCAAGATTCGACGGCATCACCTCAGCCAATTAGAACTCTCCTGCGGTGACGATGACATTGAGAGGTGGGAGACAGCGCGCCGTGCATTGGAGGAGAAGCGGGTGAAGGACCCGTACTATGCCGATGCTTTCTGGGAGAGTCCCACCCCTCCATCAGGTGAAACGACTTAAATCAGGCATAACGACGGCGATGGCTGACCGTATCGATTTGAAGATCCTGGAAAGCAGGTTGTAGAAGTTCGACTGCTCGAGGATGATGACAGCGGTCTCGTGAAGGCAATAATGCAGTCGCTTAAGCTGGAAGAGAATAGGTGAGCGGTTCGGTTTGGACAATCAAGAAAACACCGGACCAACAATCGTAGCCTTCGTATGCAGGCGCAAGGGAAGGAATGGGGTGCGTCCCTTGAAGATCGCCGCACTGCGGCGATAGCTCGAACTAGGTTCAATAACCGCCGCATCAAAGCAAATCGAGAGTTGGCCACCCTCTTGGACCAGGATTTCCAGGACGACGAGTTGCTCCCTCCCCGCCTGGCAAAAATACTCGACGAAGATGAATGGGCGGAAGATGACGAGGTCCTGCACCGACATCAACTGCGCGTCCAACCTGAATTTAGACCAGTCTCACTACCGTCTGCCTGGCCTGTTGGTCGCCGGAAGAAGGAGCATCTGACCGAGATGGAGCAGGAAGCCATGGGCATCGAGATGGAACTACGATTGGCTGATATGGCCGAACGCCTGCAGGCCATAAGGGAGGGCCTATGTGACCAGGCGCAAGGGTACCGACTCACCATCCGAAACAAGAAGGGGAAGGGCAGCGCCAACTATCGGGAGCGTACCAATGCTTGGCTACACGTCCGCCAACAAACCAAAGACGTGCGAGTGCATGCGGCCATATACAATCACCATGTACGGCGACTGCATCTCATTTTTTGGGACGATGCCCCGCGAGCGCAAGCGCGTTACGCCGCCCTCAAAGGCCGCTACAAGCTGATCCTTGCATCGGACATTCGCTGTTCAACCGCAACTTACGAGATGTACAACAACATGCGAACTCGGGGAGAATTCAAATTACCTTGGTTCTGGCGCATGCAAGACGTCTCTACCGCCGTGGACGAGGAGGCTCAAGAAGACATGGCGGGAGATGAACAGCCGACAGAAGACGACGAGAGCTTCATCGCGCAATGTGAGCGACGCGGAGAATAGAATGAGTTGCCTGTCTGACGGTGTGTTAGTTTTCCGAACCCGATGGATCAATGCAAAATGCGCGGTAGTTCGTTGCGAAGAGGAGGAGTTTATGTTACAAGGCGAGATGCAAACTTGCTATTTGGGCTACATGTCGGTCGCCTACGCTTGGCGCCGCCGGCGACACTTATTACCTGACCGAGAAGCCTCGCAGGACGAGTTCGCTGGCCAGCGAGCCCATGCCCTGCAGAATATGCACAGTTGGTTGGACCTTGCTGCGCATGCGAGGAAGTCATTTAATGCAGAAGTAGCAGACATAATCTTCGATGAATTACAATAGAAGAGCCTTGTGTTGTAGTGTACCGACCGGGGCTTTCGTGTCGCAGGAACCCTGGCTACCCGCGTCGTTACAGACGCACTCTCGATGACTCTGAGAGGCAGGCCTTCTCGCGCTACGCCACGTTGAGAAAGGTTTGCCACCGGCCGTCTGGCAGCACATTGGACCCAGAGGGAAGGGGGGGATGCTTGGCACCCAGCCAACGTATCACCGCCGGTCGTGCGTAGCAGGCGACGCAGGCCCGCTCTTCCTGAAACCCCCAGACTTCGTGCAAATGCTGGTTACCAGAGAATAGCGCAGCGGCTCCAGAATCGTACTGCACGCAGATACCCAGGCCGGGAAGCGAGAGCACTGCGCGCGGTCCCCCGCCGATGGATAAAAGCAAGTCGTAGAACTCTATTCCCCCGCTCGCTCGGTCCCGATGCAAGGGCGTCAGGCGATTGCAAATCAAGGTGACGGCGTTGAAAGCGAAGGTCCAGTCGTCCGTATGACGACGGAAGTCCGGGAGAGTCGACAGATACCCCAAGGCTTGCCTCGTCTCTCGGTATTGCGCTGGATGGACGATGGCAAGAGCCGTTGATAACAGCAAACCGGTCTCGAAATTGGCACCCAACCACGCCTGTGCACTGATTTGGGCAGCGTTGTCGACCCGATCCGGGCGAGCTGCGAGATCGCGAGAGACATATAGAGTGTCGTTGTAGCCCTGTGAATTACGTCGACTCCCAGTCGCGAGATGTTCAGCAAGAGGAAAGTGTCACCTGTTGCGCCTGAGCCAGCCAGCCCGGTGACAGGGTGATTTGTCCCCGCCCAAACACCAGATCCGCCTCCTTGGCGTAGAGATACCGAGAATGTCTCCACCGCGAGGTCTTTCCCTCGTTGTCTGGTTTCGGCGGGTGCGCAGCAATAGCTGCGGAGGCCAGGGAGATCGTACTGGCGACGATAGCCTGTGGTTCATCAGCCCATAAAGGAGTGGTCGTCATGCTGAATACTGGCCTGACGCTCAGGAAGAAGTAAGTCCGGTAAATACCAAAACAAAATGACATCCTCTTCGTCGACAATGGAAAGGGGTTCGTTCGTAGGAGGTATGCCATCCAAAGGCGGGTATCGTTCCTGCAAGACAGCTTCAAAGTCTGGTTCGTCACCGCTTTGGGTGCCGATGCTCGCAGCGTAAGTTCTGGCACTCCAACGAACAGAGCCTGTGAATGTAGATGAGAGCGCAGAGCGGAGGACCTGGACGCAATACGTACGCCGATTGGTCACAGCTTCGATGCATCGCTGGGCCACGACGCGCAGCTCGGCTTGGAACCCTATAGGCACCTCGTCGGGGCAGACGGGCGATGGGACGGCGGTGTTGCCCAGACATGCGGAGATGCCTTTGAGAAAACTTGCTCTGCCGTACTCGGCGCAGAGGTCCAAGATTCGAAGGCTTTCAGGTGCCGCCATGGTGGTCCAAGACAACCGACGAGCAGGGCGCACGGCGCGTTCAAAGCGAGCAAATGCTTACGCAATCACAAACTCGTTGATTATGAGGGCTGATATATTTTGCGGGTACGGTCGCGAGAGCCGGAGGCCAATCGCCGAGGAGCATGAAATCGCCTACAGGCTCCAAGAGTATGCGGTGCACCCTGATGAGGGAAGTGTCACTCAGAAAATGTAGATGAGATTGTCGATGGGTCGCGAAGCAAGAGGGATGACGTGCAGATACTAGCGGGATTGAACAGATTAAGGGGATGGGGGACATTACTGTAACGGACAGGCGGCGAGAGCAGAGGACTAACAAAGAGACGCGAGCAGGACACAAAACGCAAAACACGGAACACTATACGAATACCAGCAAAAGAGATCGAGAAAGTCTGAGATGGGGCGGCGGGGGGTTACCCAGATCGTGGGGCGCGATCACGAAGCCCTGCGCGCCTAGCGTTCGCGCCTTTGCCTCTCCCGGCGTTGCCTCTCGCTGCAGCAGCGCCGCGGCCTTTGCCCACGCGAGACGCCGGGACTTGAGAAGCTGTTGCGCGCGCAGGCTGCGGCGGCGCCTGGTCATCGGAACTACCGTCGGCGTCCTCATCCCCAGAGCTCAAGTCGCCGGCCCGTCGCTTGGCTGGGCGCTGACCCTCAGGCTCGCCTTCCTCATCTTCACCGCGTTTCCGAGAGTCGCCAAGAGCCCAGTCTTCGCCGGTCTCCATTGGGACGTCGTCGTCGCTCGAGCCTTCGTCGGCATTGGATTCGGCTTGAGCTGAACGGGCCTTGGCAGCTATTTGCGGCTGAGGAGAGCGGGCGGTGTTGGCAGGGATTGTAGGGACGGCAGGACGATAGTTGCCGGGCGACGGACTAGTCGTGAGGGGCGACTCTGACGTCGGAGTCGTCGGCATACCGGCGTTGGCCATCTCGACGTCCAACGACGGCGGGTGGCCCAGAGAATGCGAGACGAGCGACGCCGAGCGGGGATTGTTCTTGGGACCAGAAGAGGCTTCTGCATTTGTGTGGTGAGAATGCTATAATATCTTATCGACGCGTTCGAGCCAAGGGCTTACCTCGAATAGGCGTCAAGGGGTCGGCAGCCGCCAGCGGGACTTCGTGCTGCGGAGAGGAGCGTCGGGTGAACGAAGTATCATCAGCGGCGACACTATCTTCGTCCGGACAAGGCGCTCGTTGTGAGGGCGCAGGGTTGTCCCCAACTGGCGGGACAATGCCCCCACTGGAGGACAGCTCCACCGAGGACGCCTCGCGGGCGCGATCTAGCGCGCGCGAAACAGAAATGCTGAGTGAAGCGCGAGACGGCGAAGATTCTGTCCGGCCAGCCTGACGCCGCTCTGGGGGCGGCTGAGAGACCGACTGGTGCGCTGGTTCCGGCGCGCGCAAGACCAATATGGGAGCAGCAGCCTTGCCTACGCGATCTTGATGTTCGCTGAAGACTCTTATATTCCGCGCGAGCGGGCTCACATCCTCAAGTCGCTGCACCCGTGCGACCAGCGCTTGCATGTCGGCGCCCATGATGTCTACTCGACCTGACATGCCATCCACGCGCCCTGACATCTCGCTGACACGCCCGGCGATCGGCTCTAGTTCCGCAAAGCGCCGCGTCAGATCTTGCACATTCCCAGCCATGTCGTGGAATGGCGCAAATGACTCAGCGAGTATCTCAGTCAATCTCGTCTCGGAGATGCCAGTGGTAGGCGGAGGGGTTGTACGCGCCGCGGCAGTGACGGAGGGGTCGCCTGGGATGGCCCTGGCAGGATTGCCTAGAGCCTGAACGGGGATGGACTGTCCCGATATGGCAGCCGCGGCCGTGCGGCCAGCATAAGGATCGAGAGCCTGCGGAGCGATCCGGTCTCTCAGTTCTTGGAGCGACCTTATGATCTCCCGATGACGCGGGAGGACATGCTCGTTTTCATAGCGCCCCAAGATCCAGTCGCGGTGGTGATTGCTGACGTCGCGCATCTCATGGCAGAGCGCGCGCTCGACGTGGTTGGCGAGAAATATGTCGCCCGAGAGGTTTAGAGTCGACATGGGAGGGGGAGCGCCCTGAGGATAGGATATACGAGACACTCCGCCCGACGACGCCTCGTAAGGCCTGTCACCTTCGACTCGCATGTCGCTATCCGGTATCACTGCCGGCCAAGTCAGCATGGGGGCGGTAGCTACGGATGGGGCCGAACTCACCAGGTCGCGGACGACCGCCAAATCTCGGGCCTGCCGCGCTTGGAACAGGGCGAGTGCCAGGAGCGGGAGGGTGAAACTGAACACCGCGACTTGAGGAACTTGATTGCCCGCGCTGCTCATCACCCCTGGGTCGGTGGACCGCGCGGGACTTACCCTTTCCATCCGCAGGACGAACAGGGCGGGCCGCCTGGCGCTCTTGTTCAGGCGCAGGTGACGCCATAGACGACTGCGATCGCGACGGCGGTTCAGGAACGTCAGTGGCGGTGTCTTGAGCGCTTTCTACCTCTGATTCTACTGGCGCCGTCGACGCCACGGCGGCGGGTCGCAGGGAACCTTCCATCGGACGCGAAGGCGCGGGAGCACCGCTATCATTCGCCGGGCTGGGTTTTGGGGCGGCCGTGGGTCCTTCGCGGCGCTTGCGCTTGCGTGGAGGTTGCGCATCGCCAGGTGCGGCGCCAGCCTGGGCAGTCGGGAGTTCATTCTCTCCGGCGGCAGGTACGCGCGGACGCTTTCGTGTACCCGCGGGCATGTTGCTCAGATCCGCCATCGCGCTGTCCTCGCGCGCCGCGTTGAGGTCTGCTCCGTTCCCTAAGCGGGAACTCTGCTGTTGCGGGCCGCGGTGAGATACGTCGTCCTCATGCGCGGCAGTCACATTCTCCGCGGACACAGTCGCGAGGTCGGGCTGGGCATCGGCGGGGGAATAATTGTCGACTAGCATGTCGTCGTCGACGGCGGCTATGTCATGGGCGGCGGCGGCGGCAGACTCAGAGGCGGACGCTGGGGCAGCAGGCTCCTGGGCACCATATTCTTCCGCGGTAGCTTGTTGCGAAGCAGCTTCCGGCCCGGCAGGCGGGGGTAGCCCAGTGGCTGAAGTAGGCGGGGCGGCGGACGATGACGAAGGCGCCGCAGAAGTCGGATCCAAGGCAGTCGACGTCGCCCTCGGCGGGCTGTACCGCGGTGCCGGCGAAGGATAAGCCGGTGGTTTCCCAATTCCACCAGCGCCGGCACCGTGACGCGCGCGCCCTAGTACTCTATGTCAACTCCCAGTTTTGAGCGGACCTGAATATTCGCACTCACCGTCCTCGAGAACGTAGTGGTGCGGAAACGGATATACGCCGGCGGCGTCCAGTTCTCGCAGGTACTGTGTGCGAATCTTGAAGTCCGGCTTCTGAACCGGGCCGTCAGGTGGTATGTTGCCCTCGCACCTCCCCTGGCTACCCTTCTCCCAATAACAAGGCAGACACGCTTTGGAACCACGGGGGATGCAGGTGTAATACTGTTTGCTGCAATTCGTGCAGGGTTTCTATTGGGCGACGAAAAGTTTTCAGTACAGGGTGAACCTTGGCCTGACGGGCAGCCGACGCACCTTAGATGTGACAGGTAGACCATCTTCGAGCACCCTGAGACCATGAGCATGCGGGTGTTCCCAGACCACGCTATCGGGAGCGTGCTGCCCTCGCGGCCATCTAAGAAGTAGCCGCTTGTGCTCGTGGTAATCGGGAATATTCCACTTTAGATCCGCAGTGAAGCCGCTAGGGGGAAGCCACGGCGATGGTTGGGCGCGCCTCGAAGCTCCCGGCGGTGGCGGTGGCGGCGGCGGTGGCGGAGCATGGTCAACGCCGGCGGGGACGCTGAAGGTGAAACTTGCTGCGGCGTTTTCGCCAAATCGCGGTCGGGCGGCCTGCGCATCGTTGACCCGCGGCTCGGCCGCGTCGATGTTGGCTGGGGAATATGTCCCGCCTCGGTCGTCGTCGATTATTTCGGCACCACGCAAAGCGGCGTTCGTTGCTTCCGCAGCTTCGCGACCGGGCCTGCTCCCTGCAGAAGACGCCGCAGTAGGACGAGGAGGCGAAGGAGCCCGAAGAGCGTAGGCTGCGTCGTAAATATTCTGCCGGAGCAGCGGTTCCTTGTCCTTCAAATTGCCTACAAGTGCATCGCTTAGTTGAGGGTGTGAGACACAAAGCATAGCATGAAGTCGTACCAATCGCGTGCCACCAGTGCACAGTACCAATCTCGTTGGCCTTCAGCTTGCGTACCGTCTGTTCCTCTGGCCAACCTCTCGCTAGGAAGCCTCGAACCTTCCCGATGTCCCAGCTGTTATCCCGTCGCGCCTCGCGTGTCACAGTCTCGATGAACCGCTCGATGGGTTCGACGGACGCGGGAGCGTTGTACTTCCTGGCGAATTTCTGGGGTTCATCAGCGCAACAAAGACAAAAGTTGACGGCGCACGCACCATCTCGACGAGCAGAAGCGCCCACGCAGTGCGCGCAACGGCCTTTGTGATCCGCGTCGCTCCTTTCGAAACCTCGGAGACAGCATCCAACGCGCGTTTGGCACGATTGAGGGCGACGCGACCGACGGGGATGTCCATGTCTTGCGCCGTAGCGAAGAAGGTGGACAGCATTGCCTTCAGGAACTTGGGGTCGACGATGTCTGTCAAGGACCCTTCGCCGCACATCTGGCGAGCCCGAGCAACGGCGCGCACCCTATCGGTAGCCTCTTGTGCGGCGGAGGAGGGAACTCGAGGGGCCATGGCGGTGCTGGGCGGGGAGCGTCGATGTGGGTAAGAATGAAAGGCGTTCAACTTGGAATGCCCGCGCTCAAGTTGAAAGCGCCCGCCGACATATGGTTTGATGCGCGCTTATGAACAACGCGCCATTCGCTCATGCCCAGCCCCTATCTTGATGCGCCCGGTGTCCTGTTCTTGCTATAACATCCGACATTGCGCCTCAGGCGCCAAGTCGCCGTGTCAACGTCGCGAATTCCCGAAAAGTGCCATCAGTCAGGGTGAGATGGACGTGCGCTTTCCGCGCCTCTTTCACTCGAACCATCTTGTCTGTCGCATTTGTCGTCCGCTCTCTCCTTCTCCGCCAGAATATCATCATGGCGGGCTTGAGCCTCCAAGAGGCAATTGTTCTTTCCAGCAGCAATGAGGAAGGAATGAGTGCCGGCGATGAAGATTCTTGGTCGGAGGGCGGGGACGCGCCACATAGCAGCGAAAGCGAGGACGACCCGTTATTCCCTCCGGTTGAAGCAGCTCAGGGCAGCGAGGACGATGAGACGAGTTCGGAAGGCGGCATTGATGATCATGAGGGCGACGTGGAGATGGGTTCCCCAGGTTCGCCCGTAGCCCGCTTGAGCGGTTCGGTCATTCACACGAATCATCAAGAGCCGCCGGTGCCGCCCGCGCCTTCACAACCCGGGCCGCGGATGCCGAACATCCCCAGGCGCCAACCGTATGTGATGGATCACACTCGAGCGTCTTTGCCCATCCCGGTGAATGTTCCGGTTCCTGCGGCGTTCTCCAGCGCCGGGCTGCATAACTCAGGTCAGCGTCTTGCTCGCCTTGAGGACTCAATCTAACGCCTCCTTCACTAAGCTCATTTCAACCAATGGCTCCGTCACCTCGGAGATTCGCGCGTTGCGGCGCCGCCTTACTCCGAGCAGATCTCCAGGCTGCGTGCCACCGTCGGCGCTCAATTGGACATCTCGCTCCAGCGCGAAGCCCGTAACCTCGAAACGTGGCGTTCCCTACTCGCGACCACGGAAAGCGAGATACTTGAGCTAGATCGTCTGCAGTGGATCTTGGCGAGGATGGCCACCAACCCCGTCTTACGTGCAGCGGCGAGTGTGCAAGGCGCCGATTTGACTTTGCCGCAGGCGCTGCTGGACCGCGCAGCTGCACCGCCGCCGAACGTGACCTACGGCATCGACGGAGACTGCAACTCCGAAGCGTCTGATCCCGATGACGCTTCTGCCGCCGCGCGCTCCGAGTCCCCGGCGCCGAGCGCTAAGGCTCCTCGAAAGGACCGCGGGCGCGCGTTGACCGCAGACTTGCGACCGGTATCTTTCATCGACGACGCCGAAGACGACGAGCCTTCGGGATCTCCAATCGCCGGACCCTCTCGCCTGGCAGGCGCCGCTGGTGCACGCTCTCCTTCGCCGCGGCCGCCCATCTCTGCGCGTTCTAGAGCCCCGACTCCAGGCCCCAATGCCGCACCGTCAAAAGCTCGCGGCGTGCGCCGGCGATCTAGTTCACCTCTACCTCCCACGTCGTCGATGAGCCAAGGGGGTAGAAAACGGCGCAAACGCAACGGCCGAGCAGATTAGCGTTAGAACTAGTGTAGAATCTGAGTTCCTTGAATTAGCTTCATACGTTGTGATTTTCTCTTACAGAAGCATATTCATAAACTTGCTGATCTCACACTTGCCGAGGGTGCGGTACAGCTGGACCACGGTGTTTGTAAATCGCGGTATTTCAACTGCGCGCGGCTATGCCATCCGCTGAGCAACATATTGTGCTGGTACGTAGATCTCAGGAACTGCTGCGATCAGCCTGCTAACTTGTGCCTGCCGCTTAAGAGCGGGTATGTGGGTCTCTTAAATCGGTCAAGAACGGCGAGATTGTTTAAGCCGTCAGAGTAAAAAAAACACCGCCACGGTGGAGTGGATTCGAACCGGCCACCCTAAGCGCAGCGAGCACCGCTCTACTACCACTCCGCCAAGGGTGTGTTGTAGAACCCAAAACCATTGGCTCTCTGGCCGAATTATTCGCGAGCCTAGGGTATGTTCGCCGTGCGTGAGATGATCGATGAACTAGATAGTTGCTACTAAGGTGTCGGGTACACGTGACAAAGTCACAGAGCTGTCACATGTCGCTGCTGATTTACTCAGCCTTGTTGAACGCATTCAGTACCGCCATGGACTCTGCTGTTTCGAACCCTGTCTCAAGCGCAACTTTTGTCATGGACCAGCGCGCTTTTCGTGCATGCGGCTCAGGCTTTATGGGTGATCTGGTCACCCCTTCCTTGCTCCAGGCTGAACTTGAGGACTTTTACCGAGGAGACCCCCAGTCATCAGCGGCGGTCTCGTTGCTCCGCTTGCTCTCGGCTCTGGATAGCCTTCTCGCTCTTCCTGTCGGATCCTCGGGTTCTCAGGCGTCGCAAATGCAGTTGCTTTGGGAGTTTGTCTCGATTGAGCAGGTGCGGGGGCCCTCGACCTGGTCGCAGTGCCATACTAATAAACCGTCAGGCTTTGTCGATAATCCACACTCCTTCCTCGGACGTCGGCGCCATTCATAGGTTCACTCACGACAAAGACCCCGATGAAATGTTGGGATACATGCGTACGCTGAGGAGTGCGATGGGGCAGCCCAAACTCGAACCCCTTGCGGTGCTCGAGAACGGTAGCCTCGGTCCATTGCAGTGGTGGCTCGCCGCCGGTGAATTCTTTCGCATTCTATTCTCAAAGTACGACCTTGCTGAATCGCTGGCAGATAACATTCTTAGCGACCGCGCGATGCGCCGCCGGGACATCTACGACAGCGCTCTGCGACTGTTCGGTCCGAATATCCTACCTTCGCTCCAGGCGAGTCCCACTGGCGTGGTCAGTCAAAGCGCCTCAAACTTCGACTTCGTCGCGGGATCGCTCGCTGAGACTGGCGCATACGCCGGGCTTGGTGTCAGACGGAACTCGTCGCCCGATATGCAGGCGTCGGTCGGGAGTACAGCTGCCGCAGCCAGTAGGAGGCTTGTGTCACCTTGGCTTGCTCCGCGCGAGTTTCAGGGGGAGATCACCTGGCGCATTGAGGACCTAAACCAGCTTGTTGAGGATCTCTTACACTGGCCATCGGGGCAATCTATCCCAGATGCTTTGATCTGGGAGCACCCGGCAATGCATGGGTGTCTGGTGGACGCTACTGGACACACAGCACAATTTCAGGTAGGCCATGTTTATGTTTGTACCGCTAGCCTCCATCAACTGAAGACATCCTCCAGGTGCGATGCAGCGTATGTGAGAGACTCGACCGCCGTTGTTATTGGCGAGGGGCAAAGGCTTGCCTGCCGTGTTTCTGGGAAAAGGCCTCCAAAGGCTCTTGCACCGGGGCCGTGCCTCCCGTCCTAATGCCGGCGCAAGAGAGGGAGCACAAGCCTCAGTTGGCTCGACGCATGGACTTTCTGTGGAGGCTTGAGGGTGCAGGTGTGACCATGTATCCTGAGCATCTGGTTGATGCAAATGGTAGGCTGTTCCCGCGTCAGTGGATTAACACACAATAATCGCATCTCTTAGGTCGTGCCGTTTAGAGCAGCAAGAGGCCAGGGTACATGGCATCTTGGAGATGCTTCTCATATGCATGAGTAGGGTGACATCTATATATTACTGGCAGGTAAATCAATATGAAGTTGATGGCTTGATTGCTCAGTGTGTGTTAAAACTAAGTACTGAACATATGGAAACTGTATCAATCGTAAGGTCGTGATCTCAACCAAAGCATTTGAAGCAATAGGGCCGTGGGAGGTCAATACACCAAGAAACCCCGCATGCTTAATAGCCCCAGCATAGGGCTTGCATGGCGAATGTGAGAGTCGAGTTTCCCGTCCGCATTTATAGCAACAAAACGCCGCTGGTCTGGCGCATGTTGGACTCGGCTCCAAACCATCTGAGTCCCGGGATGGCACCGTACTCCGCAGCCGGTGTTTTGAGCCCATTCACCCCGGTGCCTGCGACTGGCCGTTCGGTGATTTTCTGACTACACCTGAGCTCGGTGCTCCTGCTCAACAGCAGTGTTGCGTTATCTTGGCCATTGCAAGCCTATGGTACACCTGCACTCGAGCTAGGAGGAGGAGCCTGTCTGCCCTATGCCCGGTGCCACAATAATAGTAATACTTCAACTTGCATGGTGATCACCTGTCATTTTTCTCTACTAACGCACCTAACTAGTCTGTCATTGACTGCTACCAATGGATCTGCACTGCTAGATGGGGTCGGTCTGGGAACGTCGCTCTTCACAGCGGCACAGTCTGGTCACGATCGGGCGCGACATGGTCGACAAGTATGACGCCTTCGAGCTCAAGAAGTTGTTTCTCAAGGACAAGCCTACCAAGAACGATTCGATCCGCCTGCAGAATGCCGCGCTGGCGCTATTGGAGAAACAGGCGTTCGTCCACGCGGGCAAACTGACGGTGCGTGATGTTGCGATTCGCCCTTGTCATCATCTAACTTACTTTTGCAGCGCAAGGGCAATTGCGATGAAGACGTGAAGGTGGAATTCCTGATCTCCCCCTTGGATCAGAAGTTCCCGTACAGCAGCCCGTACATCTCCGAATACGTTGCCCGCGGTTTAATGGGCCTCGCGAAGGAGAAGGGCTCCCTCAAGTTCCAGCCCTCGCAATTCCCGGTGGAAGACACGCCCGAGGACCCCAAACACGCCCAGAAGTTGGTACCTCGGCCGATGGTAGCCTTCGCAGCTACGATGGTACGTGTTCTTCTCCCTCTATCTCTACATTATACACTAAACCGTGTGCTGTTAGCTCGAAGTCGCTATCCGTAGCTACGTAAACGGAAAATATTCCCCCGGCGCCATCAACGAGGACGAACTCGGCCCGATATACAAGTCTCATGACGACAAGATCTCCGAGTCGAAACCCGGCTCTCAGGAGGGTATTTTCATCGGGATATTCCAGGAGGCGTCGTGAGTTGTTCATAGTAGATATCTTTTCGTGCTGTGTTGGCGCTGAACCGAAGTCTTTCAAGGAATTGGCTGCCTCCGGCGGCGGCGCCTGACTACGGCACCACCGAAGCCATGCAAGAGAGCAAGGAGGACACTCTTGCGTACTTCGCACAGCGCGCCCGCGCCTCCAGTACAGGCAAGTAGATCAGTTATGGAGCCCTAGTACGTCCATTCTTTCTTGACTACCATTCACAGTCTGATGTGTATCGTTACAGTAACTCTTTATATATCTTTTCTCTCGGCGACTTGACGTTTCGCCCGTCTTCGCGCTCAACCGCCGCTTTCGTCTCCCCTTCTGTTCTATAGACCGCGCCCAACCGCCTCCGCCTCGTCATCCCTACCATCTCCCCCCGCTCACGCCCATCACCACTCACGTTGTTCTTGCTCTCCCGATCTTCTGTGATATCTTACATCCATCCCTAGTATTGCTCTCCCCCCTCACGATCTGCTGACGACCCTCGGGGTTGGTGCTTACGCTCCATCACGACCCCCGCGTAGACGTTCTTACGATAGCGATGCACAATGCTACTATTTGCGCTATCTCTCGTCTTATCGCGTGATCTCACTGCGAGCTGATAGGTTCATAACCAGGTATATTGCGCTGCTAACATATTCTAAGCGCTCGGAAAACCGCGTATATGCGCCCTCAAACTCACTCTAACCGCGACTAATCAGACCTCACAGTGCATGCACACGGTACTAACGAACAGATCACTACATCTTATTGCTAACATCTGTCAGCTCATCCCTCCAAAACCGGCGCTAACGACTGGCGAAGCACCACTTATAGTCTCTAACCGGTACTTTTACGGTACGAGTGCGACTTGAATGCTACCTTCGAGTTCATTAATTTCGACTTTTAGGGCTCTAAACTCCATCTTTGACGCTCCAAAGCCTGCTTACGGCGTCCTAATTTCCTTGCTCGAGCGGTCCACCAAAGCCCGATCTGGCCGATTAGGAGCGATTAGGAGCGATTAGGAATTTCGCCAGGTACTAACAGCCTCTAATCGGTGCTAATTTTGTGTCCCTTAATCTCTTCTAATTTAGGAGCCTTTAGATGGGTTTAAAATGAAAAAGTTAGTTTCAGGAGGTAGCCGGTCCCCTGATGCGGTGAGTGGATTCGGTGGGCCCCAATCGTACTCAGGCTCACTTCCCCCGCCAGCATGCAGCTGGCGACGATCATGTTCGCGATACATGAGGCCGGTATCAGTCACGGCGACCTTGAATACGCCGACAACATCCTGAAAAGCTCAAGCGGGTCAGGCCCATGCATCGCCAACTTTGAATACGCGGAGGAGCACACGTGCAAACGGTCCCCTGCCTTTAGCAATTTACGATGGGATGATATAGAACCGGACGAGGTCACTTTCGGTTGTTCCGAGCTTCACCAGTTCATGCTCGAACTTAGTGCATGGAGACCTAGTCAGTCGATACCAGCATAAACACCCAGCTTTCACTAATCGCGCACTCGGAATAGACCTTATCCATGTGTACGCGAAGAAGCTCGGAAACCAGCGCAAGTGCTACCCTGCATCGACTTTCTATACACATGCCGACGTGCTAGCCGATCGTCTATGGGACGATGGTCGTCGGGTCGAAGAGAACGGAGACATAGCGCCAGAGTCGTGTATGTCTCGGAGGGAGGCCTACGTGTTGGCTTCGAACTCTATTCGAGAACATGCCAAGAAGCATTATAAAGAGGAGCATTGGCCGCTTCTGCAGGGTACGTATACGCAGCTACGATGTAAGTTGCGGACAGCTTTGCCTAACACTTCCACGATAGATTGGGTCGAAGGTAACGACGATTTTGAAGAGGCCGTGCAAGATTATATCCAGGCCCGTAAGTGACCATTGTATGCCTGTATGGACTTCGACATATCATCTATTGGATCTTACCATGGCTCGCTTGCATTGTGATGATAGAATCCTAGATCACAAGATCATGATGGAGCTCCCATTGAACGGCGTATGCATTCGATCGCACTGGTGCGCCACCGCTCAAAGACTTACATGCGGCCGATTCCCAAGGCCTCTATTGAGTAGCTCATGGTGGTCAAGGCCAAAGAAGCGCGTCGCCGCCCAGCGCTTCATCACGCTCCTCATCAACGCAATATCACTGTATGTGAGCGACCTGTCATATACTATGGGAAGTCCAGTCAGAAAATTAGCCCGTTGCGTTCTCATGCCGCTCGCGATGTCCATCAATTACTACAGTGCACGTGACTACATGACGAACGAGAGAAATAGAGCCAAGTCAACATACACTGCGCAGATCTACTGGGCATGCCGAGATCTCCAATTCTTCCCCAAATGGGTAGCCAACGTAGCATCAAGCTCCGAGGGTACGAGCACTGTGGGAAGTTTGCCATATTCTCCGCGCGTGCGCAACCATTGGCGCATCAGTTCGATGGTGAACTTCGACGATTCGAACCCGTAGTATCGACTGGGCAAGACGTCCAGCGTCTCTATCTCGGGGACCATCCTTCCACTCTCGAGCATCATCGTGAGCACGGTTCGTAGCGTATCTTGAGGAGTACGCAGGGTGGTGATGCGTGGAAACCAGTCAAAGGCGTCTGACAGCTCGTGATGGTCGTAGTACGCACCGCAGTCGAGGGATAGTTCGATGACCGTGTGAAAGGTAGGGAAGATACACGCCCATGTCCTCTTGAAAAAACCGATCAAGTAGCATGAGGGCTCATACCCCTTCTTCTCAGATGTATCCTTGTCTCGTTCGAGTGGAGTATACGTGTAGTGGATCCTAATGGCAGGGGTCGCATCTCGGCCCAGACCACGAGAGAACGCGGTTTCAACATGGACGTTATCTTTGGCGCTGGCCGTAGAGCTACACTCGGCTCTCACGCTGAGCTGAGCTGAAAGTGCTGGCGGCAACGTAGAGCGGCTATCGAAGTGCTTCGAAAGAAAATGCGCGATGTTGTTATCCAAGTAATCCGGATCGCCATGCACGTCTAGGGTGTACGTGATGGATGTGGAAGGTCGCATGAACTTCAGGAGGAGATCATAGGTACGATGTCTAACGATGGATGCATGCCATGTTCTCAGCGAAGGCGGAGGAGAGAACTTCACGTCGACAGTGTTGGAGACAGCGGGATCGGAAAGCACTTGAACCTCGGTGAACGTTATGTGTTCAATCCGCTTCATGCGGCAGAGTACACTGACTAGATCCGTGCACATTATGTTCATCGTCTGAAGCGTGAGGCTGAGCAGGTTATCGTACATCCCGATCTCCCAGCTGAAAGGGATGCCGACTAGCTCCAGGCTCTCAAGAGATGGAGGGGGTGCCCAGTCTCTGATCATGCGTCCATCCATGCCAACCAGCTCCATGATTCGCATGCGATGAATTTTGCCTGGCGCGACGTAGATATAGATGGATAGGTGGTGCAACCCAGAAAGCTTGTGCCACATGGGCCGCAGAACTTGTACTACAAGTTTTCCTTTGGTGTGAGTCGCGCGAAAGGTGTAGTCTCTCAGGACAAGGGTGCGTATGCGACGGGCATGGTGTGTTATAATCTCGTCGAGGAGACCATTCTCCTCGGTTGCCCATCTCTCGTAGGAGGAAGTTCCGAGCGTTAGAGTGAGAGGAGCGGCTCCGGCCGAAGTGGCTCGAGAGCGCTCGAGGGAGCGCATAATAAGCTGCGGAGGCAGGCTGCGATCGGACAGCTCTGTGAAGAGTACAGGCGCACGGGCTACGTCCCTGAAGCGACGACAGACGCATGCAATGCTCGTCCATAACGTGGAAGAGTGACAGCTCCAACAGGCGTCCTTTGGATTCACCAGCGCACCGTCCGCCAGATGGTATGAGACGCTTCGGTATGCGGAGGCTGCATCACGATGAAGAGTCATGATATAGAGGAGGATCTCTTCAGGGAGAGAGGCGAAGGGGTTGATCGCGTTTTGAAGCTGCTTTGCTTGTGCCAGTATGCCCTCGAGAGTCCGAACCTCCGTGTCAAGGTACTGCGTGCGCTCTTCGACGCTCGACGTAGCCGCACCAGTAGCAGTCAGCCGAACTCCAGCTAGGGCTTGCCATGAGTCGCTCATGACGCCTGAAGAGATCGGGGGTCACGAGAAGGTGGGAGGTAGGTGGAAGGTAGAAATGAGATGAAGCCATATTTCACGGTGGCGATGAACAACAACGCCCGGAGAGAGAACAAAAGACAGATATGATCTTAGCGGGCGCTAGCGGGTGCCATTTGTTCCTCCCATAGACTGTGACTCGTGATTCAAAGCCATACAAAAGGTAGCAGTAGTTAGCGCTCCGGTCATTAGTAGCCTGAGCAATGATTCAAGAATTGCGCATGTGCATGAACATCCGTGAACATCATGGTAAAGGCGACAATTGCGAGGTGCGATCAACGCGGTCACGTTGGTAAGCGGTGATTGCCGTGACCGGGACCGTCCGTCAGCGCCTCGAGATTGGAGAGGTCAACCTTGGTCTTCTCACCGATAAAGCCTTCTGCTAGCTGCCTACTGCTAGCTACGCCCCGCACAATGGATGAGAGAGGCATACACTGACGGATTGAGCTTAAAATGGTGGTTCGCCGCAACTCAGATCAGCGCGGGCGCGTTCCGGAAGCGGTGATTGCCGCCGACCTGCACGTCACAACGCCGTCGCGGGCGTCAGAATTTGACAGTGTGACACTCTACGCCGACCTCAATGGATGGGTCCTGAATCTAGCCAGTATAGGGTGATGCTATCCAACTTCTCTGCTGTGCTACGTCCTCTCCTCTCGTCGACAAGCTCGCTCCAGTGCGGCTTGTCGCGCCTTGTGAAACGATGGCAAAAGATGACCCTTGACAATCTCTATGTCGCAGAGTCTGAGAGGTTGCTGATAGCAGCAACCTCGAAGTCAAGTATCCTTCAATACTGAGCGCTAAACCGTGGAATTCTCGGACAGCTTTTCCGCTGTCGGGATTCGCGTTCCCTCGCCCAGTCCTCGCCCTCACGAATACTCATCAATCAACATCGCTTTGCAATGAAGGGCGTTCTCACGCCTAAGCTGGCGGCACGTACTTCAAGGCCTACACTCGGCTACTATCTGTTGCCCCTCCGCCCCTCTCCTCGTCAGCCGCGACAGCCTCGCTTGTTGACCTTCTGTCCCGACCCTCCCTTCATCCGCAGTTATCGAGCCGCAGTCACGGACACCTCGTGGGTACCTCTCACGAGTCGCGCTTACTCGGTCGTAACGAGTTTTCCCAGATGTAGGAAACATGCTGCGCCCCCCTCAGCATTCTTCTGTTGCATTGCGCAAACGCTACAGCTTGATCAGCTCTACTGAAGAAGTCCAGAGCTTTCAAAGAACGAAGAAGGTGCGTCTTCAAGGTCCCTGAAGTCCGTAGAGATGCTCAACTTGCTTAGCGCGTGTCTGAAGCAACGGCCTCTATAGCAGGCGCTGCAGTCACCATCGGTCATGACGCACTAGCCACTGGAGTCGATCTCCTACAGCTCGCGCCTATACCGGCGTTGAGCATGGCGGGGTCTATTCTGCTGAACATATGGGAAGCCGTCGAGTTGATCGAGGTACGCGTTTTCCAGCACATACAAGATCATGGTGACTTATCCTCCTCCAAACAGATCAACAGAGTAGCTTATCTGCGTCTCACTGAACGATGCGCTGAGACGCTGATATCCGTTCGACGAGAGGTTCAGCTAGCGGGACCAAACCCCGCACTTGAACTAGCCGATCCCCTGCGTGCACTGCTCAGGTGTGTTCCTACAGTTCGTGATCTTTTCTCTTCTCGCTGACGCCATGGCGCCAGTGCCTTCAACGGGGTGTATTCCTCCCTCCTCAAACAAACACGACGTACGTTCTTGCAACGATACCTGAAACGAACAGAAGATCAGCGCGAGATCTCCGATTGCGACACTTCTCTCAACGCAGCTCTCCAGATGTTCAGTGTCTGTCGCTGTTCCATTGAAGATGCGGGCCCACCGCTTACTGATTCATCCTCAGCTCCAAGTCCAGATCCGTACGCTCAAGCTTGTCCAGGAGAGCGAGTCGCGTCGACAGGAAGATAACAGGATGTTAGCATCTCTTTCCGCGGCATCGTCGAGATCGGCCTTTGAAGTTTCCGGAGAGGAAACGATGTTGGACTCTGCCAAAGTCCATATCCTCTTGTCGAGCTACAGGCGTGACCAGAACATACGCGATCGCAGAGCAGATCTCGCAGACTTGCGGATGCTATTGAGAACTGCTCTGCAACAGCGTAGCGATCTTGCTATGATAGAAGTGCTACAGATCGGACGGGACGAGATGCCGGAGGCTATCAGTACTTTGCAACGTGCTTTACATGTTGGAGTCACAAGTGCGTGTACTCTCTGGGCCGTTCTTGACGTTCTCTAATCAGCCATCAGCTCCAAACCAGTACACTCAGTCGATACTGACGGTGTCTGCCGACGGCGACATGGAGCAACGATCGGAAGGGCGAGTACTCACGGCGCGCGAAGACTTGGGCACATCGCACGGACTGGACGACTTCGACCGCGAATTCATCACGACTGGCATTGCCGCGTTGACACGTCTCAGTCAAGGAGCCGACCTCAGTGTTCCGAGTTGGACGATCACTCGCCACGAGATAGACCTAGAGAAGAAGATCGGTATTGGGTTCTTTAGCGACGTTTACAAGGGCAGATGCCGTGGAAGGACTGTCGCCATCAAGGTGCTCGCGGACACTACCCCACGCAGCCTCTTCGTCCGCGAGGTGAACATCTGGATACAGCTACGACACCAGAACGTCATAGAACTTCTGGGAGCAAGCTCTGCCACCAGCGATCCTCCTTGGTTCTGTGAGCAACCATCAGTGTTGAACCGAGATCACCGCTGACTTCTTGGAGCAGTGGTCAGCAGATACTACCGCCACGGGAATCTTGCCCATTACCTTCACGATCGCAAGACGTCTCAGACAGACCACTTGAAGATGATGCATGAGATCGCTCAGGGAATGTCCTATTTACACAGTAAAGACGTCTTGCACGGTGACCTGAAGGTTTGTCTCTTCATTGCTATCATCTTCTTAAGCATCATATACTGACAATCGTCAGGCATCGAACATCCTCGTAGACGACTCATTGTGTTGTATCATTGCCGACTTTGGGCAAAGCGAGATGAGATCTGAAGTCTTCCGTCTCAGCGCCTCACCTCCATCCCGTACGTGTCATAGGTCGACTGTCAAGTGTCATAATCCTGAATCTATACTCAGGTGGGACAGTGAGATGGCAAGCACCTGAGGTCATCATGGGAGCAGTTGCAAGTCTCACGCCAGGAGCCGATGTCTATGCCTTTGGTATTCTGTGCGCCGAAATCGTTAACCAAGGCGCCATTCCCTGGCCGTTGGCGGATGATAATATCATACGCCATCTTGTATGCGGTAAGCCTTGAATCTGCTCATGTCGACTCTTCATTGACGTACGAATTGGGCTGCTTGTAGTTGAGAACAAGCGGCCTGATCTACCTCCATCCTTCGATCACCATGCCGCGCGCATCATCCAAGTATGCATGTCTATGCCATGTTGCTTGGCCTTCGACGGCTGATCTCATGCGTCCAGATGGCTTGGGAGCGTGATCCGCAAATGCGACCTCCCTTCGAGGATATAGCACGCCGCATTGACTCTTTCCGAGGCATATTCGACTTCAAGTCTAGCGGTATCATGAAACGAGTTCTGCGGCATCCGCCCAGCACCTTTGCTTTGACGTCTGAGAAAAAAGGGATGTTAACTCTTGGAGATACCGCATCATCCCTACCACTCCCAGCGCTAGACTCGCATCCGCCATCAACCACGTATCCGCTGGTTCCCTCTTCAAGTCTGAAAAGCGCCCTGCGACCCACCAAGTTCGCTCCGATATCAGGAACGAAGCGAACGCCTGCGCTGGTCAATACTATGCCGTCAAGCCCCCGGTCGATATTGAAAAATCGAAATTCCGAGTCGCATGACACCAATACTGCTGCACTATCACGACCGGCAACGGCGCGCTTGCGCGCTAGCATCGCGCGTGAGACCGCGTCATACATGTTAGGACATATGGGCGAACACCGCCCATCAGAGTTGGTCGTTTCACAAAAGATCCAGAATCAGGGGGACGACGTTAAGTCTATCAAGTCACTGGCACTGTCTACGCATAAGTTTCTCCAGTTGCCCGTTTTGGAATGTCGAACGAACTGCGATAGCTGTGGAGACAGGCTCTGGGTTTCGCAGATGCGCTGTGTCCATTGTGGCTTGAATGTGCACCATAGCTGCAAGTATGCAGCGTTGAAACCCTGTACTTTAGCAGACCATCCTGTAGGACCTATCGCCTTGTAGTAGTCTGGCCGCGGCGGGCCATGAGCCTGCTGGGCTTGTGACCGAGCGATACAGTACTCGGGAGCAGGACGGCATGGTATTCTTTGCTACATTGCATACGCTTACGTAGATGGTTGTTATCAGTATTCGCGCATGACTGTAGTGAGGCTCGTAGCCGCCGGATCCCCCAGCCTAGCTTGATTCATTGTTGGTTTGCAACTGAACCACTGTGACCGCGCAGCGCTGCCTCAAAGCAAGGCGCAATGACAAAATCGAAGCCCGCTGCATTATCGCTACAGAACAAGTTCGAGTAGCTCGCCCATCACAACGAGTCAATGGCCCTGCCTGAACCATCCCGGAGTGCCTACGTTGATATTCGCTTCTTGTTGTGACTGACGACGCGTTCTGTCACAAGTGTTACGGCGAGCCGCGAGCAAGGCTCCGAGGCTTCCCGTCCACCACCACGATGTTGTCGCGCCGTTCGCTGAACAGTCGTGTACCTACTACCGGACTATCTTCATTCAGTATAACACTGTGTCTGAGACTGCCTCACTCCGTTAGCCCGATATACTCCGCTATGAAATTACTCGCCCCTAGCGACATCGTTGACAGGCCCTCGCTTCTTCAGAAACTTGCTCACGTTTCGAGCGCCAGTTCGGCACAGCCACAGCACGAGGCGTTCGCAATGTCCATCGGATAACCCGTTTCAGCGTGTGAACTCTGTTTTATCAGTCCTTCCTCTTGTCTCTCATCTACCCCGTCCTGGCTTGTTGTCTCGCCTTACCCGTTGACTACGAGAGGGTTATAAGTTGGGCAGCACATATGGCATACTCAAAACGCGCCAAAAAAGTCACTGATGCTCGCGATCTCATAAGCGTACGTCGTATCCTTCGATGATTTGAGCATCCTCAACTGACAGCTCGCAGAATGCTCTGGATAAGGTCGATAATGAGGATGGAATTGTATCCATACATCTTCCTGCATTGCGACGGCTCTTTGATCATACTCAAGACGACGCCGAAGCCGCGCTGAGGAAGGAAGTCGACGAGGAGCGCGTTCGAGAAGTCAAGGCGGTGCGTTTGCTATGTAGCATGAACTCAGGCGGCGTTTTCTGATGGCGGGAACCTGCACCTAGAAAGTCCAACGCGCTACTGCGTCCATCTGGTTGATAGCGCCTGATGTCGCCTATGATATACTAGCCTCGGGGAAGGGACTGCTCCAACTTGCACCTATCCCGGGTTTGGATGCGGTCGGTTCCATATTGTTGAATATCTGGGATGCTGCTCGTTTGATCAAAGTGCGTCGCTTTATATCATGCCGCGACGTTGTACTCATGTTGCACTTCCAGGCAAATCGGAAGGCCTGTCTGCGACTGACTGAGCGTTGCGCAACCATGATTATCACCGTGCACGCGCGCGTGCGAGATGCTGGAGGCGAGGTTCAGGCCGTACTAGAGGGACCGCTACAAGGTCTGCACAGGTGAGTATTGGAACCTACCCCGCGGAGTTTCTACTGATCACCAAATCCAGCGCGTTCAACAATGTCCTTGACTTCCTGCTACGTATGAAGGACATGAATGTCTTGCGAAGCCTCATACAGCGTAATGAAGATCGCGACGACATCGCCAGATGCAATTCGGATCTTGTGTATGCTATGAATTTGTTCCAAGTACGTGGCATCGCTCGTCAAGGTTCGATCGTAAGCGCTCACGATCAACAGGTTGAAGTCAGCATTGTACACATCGGGGAGACGAGAAGACAGGACACACGGGATCGTGACGATGATCGTGAAGACTTGCGAGAGTGCTTACACGAGGCGTTGCAGAGAGGTGACGATAGCGCAGTCTTGGAAATTCTAGGAGTAGATCACGCGGAAAAGGCCGAGATGATCGTCAAAGTTCTTGGACGCCTTCTTTGGCCCGAAGCAGCTGGTGAGCCAGACCAGAAATTGATGACTGCCACCTACTCAGCAGCGTCTCTAGGTCCAGCTGTCACGATTAGATCTGGATCACGACGATATCCCGGTGTGACGTCTTTCGTGGATGATTATGATGATCATCCCCTCCCCGATCTGGACGATCTTGAGCGCGAATTCTTGACGGCAAGCGTCGAAGCGCTTACACGTTTAAGTCAGAGGTCCCAAACCGAACCTCTTACAATGGCGATCTCGCACGATGAGGTGAAGAAGTCCGCTCAGATTGGTCGCGGTGCTTTCAGTATAGTCTACAAGGGCGCATATCGAGGACGTGTCGTTGCGATCAAGGAGCTTAACGCGAATATCTCGCGCGAGCTCTTCGTCAAAGAACTTATGATATGTATGAACGTCCAGCACCCGCATGTTATACCCTTCATTGGCACGAGCTCATCAAATTGCCCTCGTCCGTGGTTCAGTAAGTAGTCCATCACATCCGTCTATGATTATCAGCCAACCGCAGTCCAGTTATCACTCCTTACTACCGGAACGGAAACCTCGTTCGCTATCTGAAAGGAATCCCAGCTGGTGTACCAATTGATGTGACTCAGATGATGCTGGACATCGCCCAGGCAATGCAATATTTGCACGGGAGAGGTATCAAGCATGGCGACCTCAAGGCGAGTAAGTAACGTTTCTGAAACGCGATACGTCGGTGACAAGTTTCTCGCAGGCCTTGAACGTCCTGGTCAACAACGATTCACGATGCATTGTGGCGGATTTTGGGCAGTCTCAGGCTAGGTTCGAAACATCCCTCGCCACGATCACGGATCGGGGCTTGTCTATATCTCGTGTGTACTCTTGATGCCTCAAAGTATGGTGCTCTATAACTAACGCCAACTTTAGGTGCAGGCGGAACTTTGATGTGGCTGGCTCCCGAGGCCTTGTCAGGGTTGATCACGGACCTCACCAAGCCAGTTGATATCTACGCGTTTGCGATAGTATGCGTGGAAATTCTGAAACGGGGTGATCCTCCTTGGGGATCTTTAGCCGGGAACACCGAACTTTTGACTAATCTTGTATGCGGTGAGCGACTCCTTGTTATAATCAACGCGATGAATGCAATGCATAAGTTGATTCTTCATCCGCAGTGCAAAAGAAAAGGCCACCTCTACCAGCACCGTATGACAATCCTTCGAACGACTCTCCGATTGCTGGTATTATCAAGGTAAGTATAGTGACTCGTAATTTGTCTATCCTATCCCATCCACCAATACATATCAAGGCAGCTTGGGATGGCATCCCCGAAAAACGGCCTTCGTTTCGCAAAATCGTAAATGTGTTGGCAAATTCCTACGGAAGGTAAAGTCCTCTTGCTTCATAGCACGCTCGGCCGGCGACCTCACAGTCCATCATCCCACCTGTAGGGAATCACATTTCCGCGCAACAGATACGAGTCCAATGCCGTCTGTAACGCAGCATCAAGCGCCCGCTGCTCACTTCTGGCGGGCCGTTCCAGCACGCGCAAGACGGCGTGAGGCCTCTGCACTTCAGAACCAGGAGAAGCAACTGCTACAGTCGCCCACAAGCACTTCAACGGACAAACACGCGTCTCCGGCGTCTCGCCCTGGTCCGGGGATTCTCGGGAACGGCGCTAATGATGCGTTGTCGTCTTCGGGGAGTCTCGCTGTACCGGGTAGTCCACTCGCCGTACATGGGTCTGTACATGTTGCAAGTTCAAGCAGTAGGAAGACACGAAAAGTTATGCAGTGGTTTCTTTCACGGCCGAAGGGCGCTGGCAAGCTGGCCAACGACGATTTGTCGGCGAATACAGCAGCACTTCGCGGCGCGAGCTACGCCAGCGTCACCCCACGTTCTGAACAGGATACTTATTTGGGTACCTCGGCCCTGGACGCCGGCACCGCGCCCGAAGCGCCCAAGATGGACAACGGGATGAAATTGCATCACGGTGCGGTGGACCAGACGGCTATCACGTCCGAAGCGCCCCCGCTCGTGATAGCACGCGTACGCGCTGCGCTCGCATCGCTCGGCATTGATAATCAGGATATTCGGGAGTATAGGATTGAGTGTACGAGGCTGAAAAGAAAGCCTATAGCGGTAAGGAGCGCGGCTGGTCAGGGTGCCGATAGAAAGACGGAGTTGCCAGTTCCTGAGCAGGGGAGTGGTCAAGTTGTGAATGGCTCGGTGGACTCTTCAGTGCGTAGTTGTCTAGTCTATGCCAATAGGAGATAGGATGCTGCTTACCGCATGTAGGCGAATGGGACGTCCCTTGTGGACTCCAGCACCGCCTATGGTGATCCTTCCACGGATGTTGGCGACGAAGTATGCTCGAACTTTGTACCTTGCACTTTGACTGAATGCTGACAGTATTATATAGGTTCGCTTTGAAATTGAACTTACTCGCATCGCTCGCTTGGCCGGGACATACTCTCTCGATTTCCGCCGGGTGAGAGGTAACCTGAGTAGCTACAGGTTCCTGTGCACTACCATCAAAGAGTGAGTTGCTCTTTCCCTTCCTGCACCCTCGTAAGACGTTGACCGTAAGATACAGCCGCGTTGCTCTGCAACGATAGACGCTCTTCACTGGGATGCTGCCGATTGCCAGATCCTTATCTCTAGCATACCCCTCCTCGTTTTTTATGACCCGTTTTCACTGTTACATCGCCCAGTCTCATCCCGCTCAGCTTTATCTAATCACTTACTCTCCTCCCATTTTTCTACGCATTACCACTCTGACTGACTGGATTCTGGTCTGGACTATACATCCATCTTTGTTGCCTTGTTTGAAGAGTTGCAGCTTCGATCGTCCGTGAATCAATGTTTGGACAAATAAAGTCAGACTCGGAGTTCTGTGATTTGTGATGTATTTTTGGCTTGAGCTTCTGTCATATCATTCTTGGCAGTGTCTTAGACTATGTATGCGTCTCGTCTATACTGAGCGTTGGAGGTGCATAATTTACCCTGAGGCGAGGGATGGGGCGAACGTATTTCACCGGTCGACCCCTCGGAGCGCCTGCTAGGGCCCCTCGCCTAGCCTGATTGGTTGCTTCTTGTACGCGCAGACGGAGGCGCTGTGGCTGCGCTCGGCCACGGGCATGGGCGCCCATCTTCGTCATACCTCAAGCTCGCGCGCCTCGTCAGAGTTCAGAAGGGACGCACGTACGATAGCAGTTATGAGAGTGGGACGAGAAAGAAAGGCCAGAAAGAGCGAGTTTGGGTTCTATAGACGCCCACAAGTCAGGGAAGGAGGCTAGGTCTGAATAGGGGCATCGAACGATTTACGCGAGCCGATCATGGCATGGAGCCGAACGCTCGAAAGGTCGAACCCTCGCGACGGACGTTCGGGCCACCGTTACCCTTCTTCTGTCTGTTCTGCCAACTTCTCACTCAGCTCAGCATAACCTTACACATCATCGCCATATCTGCGCTTGCACCTGAACTACGACTACGAACGACACGATGAGCAACGACGAGATCGACGCGGGTCCGCCGCCTGCTGTATCCTCATTGCGGAACAAGTTCGAGCAGCTCGCGCATTCGAATGAGCAGCTGGTTCAGCCTGTGCCGTCTGGGAGCCGGTCGCGGCCTACGTCGTATATACGCTCTACGACGCCCGTACCACGCGCGCCGACGCCTACACCGCCCACTCCTACACCCACGCCGCCTCACTCAGCACCGTCCGCATCATCATCCCACCATGCCGCGCATCCATCGACAACAGATCAAACAATAGGGAACGACAACAACTTCCTACATCCGTACCACGCCCGCGCTGGGTCCACTGTCAGCCTCACATCATCGAATGGCGATGCCGGGCTTCTTCCTCCGCCCCTCCCTTCGCGCGGCCGAGCAGGGTCGGACGTATCATCTACTGCATCTGACGATGTCCACCACTTGCGGAATGTCAGTAGCTCGGGCGATCTCAAGCGACGGCCTCCACCACCACCACCGCCAGCTGGACATGGGAAGAGTCCAGGGACGAGTCCGCTTATGAGGGCTGCTGCGGATGTAGGCGGGAATGCGGGAGGGAGGAAGGGCGCATTGCCGCTACCGGAGGGGTTTAGTTTGGACAATAATGGAGGGCCGGTGGAGGAACACTTGAGTGTGAAGGACATGAGGAACAGGTTTAATGGGTGAGTGCATGTTCATGTTTTGTGTCTCTGGGATTTGTGGAATGTGGTCGAGGCTCTTGGATCTGGACAGCCGCGTCGACGGCGACGGCGACAGCGTCAGATGCGAGCACTGTCTGTCCACGTTCTATCTTTGCGTCATCTGCGCGCTGCGGCGGCCAGGCTTTCATTCCTGCGGACTTACGCAAGGACCTTCACATTACGATGTGCGCACAGAGGGAGATGAGATAGCGTACCCAGGGAGATGAATCTCGCCTCGCACACGCCCTCATCTCTCCCCGCCATCCGCCGGCCCATGCCCATGGGTCTTGAGCGTGGTCACGTATGCACGTCAAGCCAGATCCAGCGCGCCGTGTGCGGATCTGAATGATGCCTGATTGAGATTGACATCCGTGCTTCGATGGTTGTGGCACCATGATTTGCGCTTCGTTGGATGCGACGAGATGGATACCGCCGGGCCCCGCTGTCTCGCGTACCCCGCACTACCCGCCGGCGCGCAAAGCCATAGATAACGCTGTACGCGCCAGATCTGGTTTAAAGTGTACGGCGGGAATGGGCGCGATCCCTCTTCTCTTCTCCGCATCGTATCGACCGCTTTCTCCACTTCCCTGAACTGTCTGTCTCTATTCTTTCTCTGGATTCGCGCAATGAACTCTACTCCATCGAGACGCAACTTCCTGAGAATGAAACCTGATCTTGTCTCTAGACAATCGTCTCCGGCGCCTTCATCGCCGGAAATATCAACTACTACTGCCAAACGCAAACCGCCGCCGCCGCCCGGTCCGCCACTAACACCATCCTCATCCCACTCGAACCTCAAATCTCCCTCACCCACACGTTCTCCGTACAATGGTCACTCTTCACCGTTTAACGGTACACCGACGCAGTCTCCCGCGCCGGCCCACAGTCCTTTCGGCTCGCCTGCACCCGCCGTACCAATCCGCAAGACCCAACCACCACCTCTCCCGCGCCGTAGCCAAGGATCGGGCACTGATCTTGGGAACAGTTTGGGCTTTGAGAATGGCGGGGGACACGGGAGCAAGTTCGTGGGGAGCAGCGAGGACGAGACGGTCTTCGCCAGTCCTGTGAAGGTCTACGGCGGATCGGCTGCGCGACCTGGACCTGGCAGCAGCTTGAGCTCGTTTGACAGTAGCTCGTCGAGCGACTCTATACCTCACGTCAGTGGGAATGGGAACGCGAACGCTGGGAGGGACTACAACCCACACCCGCCTCCACCGCCGCGTCTGGACAAGCGCCCACCGCCTCGGCATCACGCGTCGCTCGCGAGTACGCATTCGACGCACAGCTCGAGCTCCATCAACTCGGGCCTAAGCGAGCCGCCGGCGTTGCCGGCCCGGAGGAGCACGGCCGAGGATGCGGGAAGGGAGCGGGAGCGGGAGAAGGAGTATGTGGCAAGTCCGCCGCCGAAGAGGACGGTGCCGCATCACCCGCCGGCGCATCACGCGCATCCATCTCATCATAACGCGCATCCGGCACCGCAACCCATCGCTGCTCAAGCGCCCGTGCATACGTCATTGCATGTCGCGCCTCCGCCTGGTCCGTCGCCTGCACCCGTTCCTCCGGCGCCAGCGGGTAAGGCGATCAAGCATCAGCCGCCACCTACGCGGACTATCGGGTTGCATGAGCCTCTGCCTGAGCTGAGGCGGAGCGTGGCGAGCGCTGGGAGCTCGGAGGATTCCGAGGACGAGAGCGGTGATGAAGATCTGAAGGACCCGCGCTTAACGCAAGCGCCCGATACATCTCGCGCGAGCAGGCGCCGACCGGCGGCCCATCCACACGCATTCGATCCGAGCGGTATTCATGTCATGCACAATGCGGCCATAGCCATCGCCGGCTCTCTCCACGCTGTCGCAGGCCAACATCACGTACGCATCTTCGACCTCGACGTCCAAGAGACGCCGCGTTACACGCTCGACGGACGCGATGTAGGTCTTGCGGGCCGCGCGCTCGTCGCCACTAGCCTATGCTGGAGCGCGAAGGGTGCCGGGAAGAGGTGGCTCTGGATCGGGACGAAGGACGGGCATCTCTTCGAGTTCGATGTTCAGCTCGGTGTTGTAGCTGGCCAGAAGCTCGCGGCGCATTCCTCGGGCGTTCAGCATATCCTGCGGCACCACGCGGCTCTCGCCACCGTCGACGACGGCGGGAAGATGCTGATCTTCGAGCCGGTGCCGGGCGCGGAGGACGAGGCGGGGATATTGGCGCGGACGACGCCGAGGGTGTGCAGGATCTCGGAGAAGCAGAGCTTTGTGAAGGTGTTTGGGGGGCGGGTGTGGACGAGCGCGAAGGAGAAGGAGGTGGACAAGGATGCGAGGGGGCCGGTTGTCAGGATCTACGACGTGTTTACGGGTGGACAGCCTGGTGCGCCGCCGCGCAGTGTTCTGCCGTCTGAACCGCTCGGCGCGGTTATGAGTGGAGGGGTTGTGCCGAGCGAGACAGATAAGGTGTTCTTGGGACATGAGGGCGGATGCGTGAGCGTGTGGAGTACGGCTGGCGGTCCGGGGTCGTTACCGGAGTGCATCGACGTGGTCAAGGTCGGCGCTACGGATGTTGTCGCGCTCGAAGGCGTGCATGATAAGCTCTGGACTACCGGGCGCGGCGGACGGATCAACGCGTACGATGTCAGTCATCGGCCATGGGTGCAGACGGCGAGCTGGGCGGCGCATAACGAGTTGCCGATCTCGAGGCTTGTGGTGGACGTCGTGGGCGTTGGAGAGGGGAGGGGGATGAAGGTCGTCAGTTGTGGGCGGGACGAGAAGATGGCGTTCTGGGACGGACTGTTAGGCGCTGACTGGCTTGGTACGTTTGTCTTCGCGTTGATCAAGAGTCCAAGTACTGACGGCACTTATAGATGAAGAGCTCCTGAAGCGCGAAGCCGAGTTTGCGTCCTTCCGCGACCTCGAAGTGCTTATCGTATCCTGGAACCTCGACGCCGTACGACCCGACGACCTCCGCTCAGCCTCATCCGTCAACATCCTCCACGAAATGCTCTCCTCCACCCCCGTCCAACCCGACATCATATCATTCGGCTTCCAAGAGACCGTCAACCTCGAATCCAAATCCTCGACCATGCGTCAGGTCTTCCGCGCCGGCGGCGTCGGCTCTAGTTCACATGATCGCAAGACGGTGCGGTACGGCGCGGACGCGGCGATTTGTAGTGCGAAGGATGAGAGGGCTACGACGGCGTATAGGCGGTGGTACGAGGCGTTGCAGAAGGCTGTTAGGCTGGCGTATGATGCGAATGATCCGTATATCGTTGTGCATACGGAGAATTTGGTCGGGCTGTTCAGTTGTGTGTTGATCAGGCAGAGGGAAAGGACGAGCATTAAGGATGTCGGAGTCAGTACGGTGAAGCGCGGCGTTGGCGGGCGGTACGGGAACAAGGTGCGTCTCTCCCACTGCTCATAAGCGAACTTCAACGATACTCATGTGGAGTTTCTGATTAGGGTGGTATCGTCTGCCGTATGACCATCGACGATACGTCCATTGCGCTTGTCAACGCCCATCTCGCCGCTGGCCAGAACAAGCTCCGCTCGCGCAATGCAGATCTGACGGCTATCATCGAGGGCAAGGGTCTGTTCCAGGAGAGCGAGGAGACTGTCGAGCGCGACGACGTCGCTTATATCGGCGGTGGTGACGGTAGTACCGTGCTCGACCACGAGATCGTCTTCGTAAGTCTCCCTCTGCATGCTTGGTCTATGAGAGTGTACGGCGCCTAACGCTTGATCCGCAGTTCAACGGCGATCTCAACTACCGCGTGGACGCGCGCCGCGACGCCATCGTCGCTGCCGTCGAGAAGGGCGACTTCCTCAGCTATCTCCAGCACGACCAGCTCTCGAAAGAGATGCGCTTCAACCGCGGTTTCCGTCTACGCGGCTTCCTCGAGGGCGGCATCACCTTCGCGCCAACATACAAGTACAACCGCCGCTCGGACGTATACGATACGTCCGAGAAGCGCAGAGCGCCGGCGTGGTGCGACCGTGTGCTGTGGCGCGCGATGAATCCTGAGCGTGTGCGGTTGCGGCAGTACAGGCGCTACGAGGCGGACGTTAGCGATCACCGGCCGGTGAGCGCTAGTTTCAGGCTGACGGTTAAGAGCGTGAGGCAGAATGAGAGGGCGGGGGTTAAGAGTGAGATGGTGGGCGTTTGGAGGGGGAGGGAGAGGGAGCTGGTGGAGGAGGCTAGGATGTTTTATGTCGGCGTTGGGTTGTTGGTTGATTGATAAGTTGCGGCTCTTGTTGCGTTACTGCGTGTTGTCCTGGGCTGTCGCTGTTCTGTTTGTCGTTGTATAGTGTGGACTCTTTGCGATACCTTATCCCCCCTCCCCTCATCCTTCTTCCTGGCTTGTTCAATGGACTCGTTCGCTCTCCTTTCTTTTCTTACGTTCTGAATCCTCCCCTTCATCATCATTTCTGACGCATAGTGGACTCTCATTGCAATATAAAGTATCGATATTGGTGTACTACGAGTCGCATTTTCGGGAGAGGTTGTGATTGGGGCTGTGCTGCATGCGCCGAAGAGCTCGCGTCATGATAATAGTACTGCTAAGTTGTTGACAACATCGTGATGATAATATGGTGGGGTCAACGTACCAGCTGCGCATACGCCAGACTCAGACCAAGCTCACAGCCATACACATACTAAGTCAGATAGTTATCATCTTCAGTTGCGTTTGAGAATAATGCTTGCAGATGCTGGCATGCGCCACTGTCCGCTTTGCAACATAGACATATCACCCATGAATCCAAGGTTGACTCCGGTCTTATGTGTCAAGGTAAGTACCGTCACGCTCACTACAGAGCCCGTTCGTCACGGGTGAGGGTGGATAGTCAATCTTTTGTAACCAACTTAGATACACACGCGCGTCATTGCCAGTCCATCCGAGTCAATAGAAACGGGGCCTACTCCCGCCAACCTTCTCGACGTGCTGCCGAATGGTATCCAGCCATTCTCCTTCCAGCAAGCGGTCAGGAACCTTCAGATTGCGTATGGGCTTTCCTCGCTCACGCCGCGCGGATACAGCGGCGAGCAACCGGTCTGCCTCCCGTAGAGCTTCCTGACCCATAATGGGTGCCTGCTCCGGCATCTCGATGATGCTGAGCGCCTCGAGAGCCGGAAACATGTTGCCGACACTTCCGGGATCGCTCTCGTCCGGGGGCGTCATGAGGATGTCAAAGAGAGCGTGGGC